TTTAGGGCTTTAAAGGCCAATGCCAGCAGTGCCTCTGTCTTGTCTGGATTCAATTTCAATTTGTTAGCCCTCATCCAGTCCGATACAGCAGCCAAGCACTGGTTCAGGACCTGACCAGCCTCCTTAGTAGTGGGTGGAAAGGAGTGACAGAGTTGGACATCATCTGCGTACAGATAACACCGCACCCCGAAACTCCGGATGATCTCTCCCAACGGCTTCATGTAGATGTTAAACAGCATGGGGGACAGTATTGAGCCCTGCGGGACCCCACAAGACAATGGTTGTGAGGTCGAGCAGTTGTCCCCCATCAACACCTTCTGGGTACGACCCTCTAGGAAGGACCTAAGCCACTGCAGAGCAGTGCCACCAAGGCCCATTCCCGCGGGGAGTCCCAGAAGGATACCGTGGTTGACGGTATCGAAGGCCGCTGAGAGATCCAGCAGGACCAACAGGGACACACTCCCCCTGTCGAGCTCCCGGCGGAGATCATCCACTAAGGCGACCAAGGCTGTCTCGGTACCATGCCCCGGCCTAAAGCCAGACTGTGCCGGATCCAGATAATCCGTGTCTACCAAGAATATCTGGAGTTGTGAGGCCACCACACGTTCCAGGACTTTGCCCAAAAAGGGGAGATTGGAAACAGGCCAATAGTTGACAAATTGAGTGGGGTCTAATGATGGTTTTTTCAACAGCGGTTTTATCACAGCTTGTTTTAAGCTGGCTGGAATTTTGCCTTCCCGAAGGGAGGCATTAACCACCACTTCCACCCACTCGGCCAATCCCCCTCTGGCCTCCTTTAGAAGCCAGGATGGGCAGGGGTCTAGGATGCATGTGGTTGCTCTCATTCCTCCAAGTATCTTGTCCACATCCTCGGGTTTCACCAATTGAAATGAATCCATCAAAATCGGACAAGCAGGTGCTCGTGTTACATCCTCAGAGACTGCCGTTAACATGGTATCCAGGCCAGAACGGATCAAAGCGACTTTGTCCGCAAAGAACCGAGCAAATGCTTCACAGCGGGCCGTCGAGTTGTCAGGGTTCCCATCCGGAATGGTGGGGTTTAATAGACCTCTGACAACTCGAAACAACTCCGCCGGATGGTTCTTTGCGGACGCAATATTGGCCGCAATGAAAGATTTCTTTGCCACCTTTATTGCCACGGCATATGCCCTTAGAAGGGCAACAAACCGTGTTCAATTTAACTCGCTCGGGTCCGAACGCCACACGTGCTCTAGTCTCCTCTTCCTTCGCTTCATCGCTGCCAGCTC